TCGTAAGGGACGGCCAGTGTGTGGATCAGATTGAGATGTGGATGAGGTACTTGGTCATCGGGGGCTGGAGGTGGAGCTATCGTCCGGTTGTCGATGAGATTTTGGACCTCATGACGAAGGCGGTAGCAACGGTCGGTGCCATGACTGCGCTGCTGATGGTACATACAGTACTTGGGGGGATTATGTCTGGCTGGAAGTGGGTCAGGCAGAGGTTGAGGATCGAGGGGTTTGAGATGCCCTCTTTCCATCAAGGCTTTTAGTGCGCTAGTCAGGCTCATATAGAGGGGAGTGAAAGTTCTGCCCTGAGCTCGGGCTGGGCCTGCTGTTTGTAGGCTTGGTTTGGCAAAAGGGTTAGCTGTGGCGACTGCATTGATCTCGGTGGGTTTGGGAATGACGCTACTACCAGCATTGGTACTCCCTGCAATCGCCCTCTTTGTCGGTTCACTTGTTCTGGGAATGATCCTGCTGTTGAACGCATTCTCGACCTGAACCCCCAGTTCATGCAAACTTTTAAAAATGAATAGTGGAGCGACTATTAACTTTTGCAACATATCATGCTCGAGGTTTCGCACCATCATTTGCACTTGATCCCTCTCAGAAGGGTGATCTGTCATCTGTGCTGCCTTTGCCCTCCACCTTGCTACAAATTCCACAAAAGACTCTGTTGGGTTCTGGAAAGTTGTTTCAAGCTCTTGCATGGTCATTTCAACTTGGGTATTGTAGGAATACTGATCAACAAAGGCCTCAGCCAATTCTCCCCAGTCTTGCTTCACTTTGTCCTCCAACTTAGTGTACCAAGTGGCTGCTACACCCGACAGGGTTCTTCCATACAGAGAGAGTTTCTGTGGCTTGGTCAGACCCATCGGCTTCAGGATATCCAAGAAAAGTCGGATATGTACCATTGGATCTCCAGACCCGTCGAAACGGTCAATATATGGCATTTTGAATCTGTCTGGGAGCCGTACAGCAGACTCAGTGTGCCCATCCTCAATGTCGGAATGGAATTAAGGCCCTGTGCCTTTTTGAAGTGCTTTTCAAGGTTTGCAATTTTCACTGCAGTCGGATTGAGCTCATTAACATCAAGGGAACAAAGCCTCTCATTAGGTTGTACTAGGGGTCTGAGTACCTGAGCTTGAGTCAACCTTTCTCGAGGATTCGGACACTGCAAATCTTCAACTGGCGGAAGTGGGTCAAAGTTTGGCTGGGGTTCCAAAGCTGGATGTGAGGCAGACGCCCCAGATGGGCGCTGTGTTTCAGTATTGGTCTCAGCCCGCATGGTAGTTCCCTGATTTAGCGCTGCTATCATGGCCACAAATTCTTCCGAACCTTGTGCCATCACGGTCTGCTGAGTCCGAACAAAGGTGATGTGACTGGCGACTGACGGATCAGATGGACCGGTGAGCCCCGACTGGCCTTGCCTTGCCTCAGCGAAAGAACACTAGTTGCCTTTGAATTGAATTTCTGACCTAACAAAGTCTATCAGCACAAATCCAATGTACCCGGGGATATCGGAGCCTTCTGAAGCTATAGTTCCAGGACTACCTAGCAAAAGAGAAAACGGGACAGGATCTCAGCACAATTTCACTGGAACAGATTTGAGCATACTAGGATGACTGTACTCAATACTTATCACTGTTTCCCAAATATCTGCCTGTAAACTGATACCCTCAGGTAAAACTGATCCCCAAAATACAGATGCCCTCAGGCCTGATACCCAGACTTGCAAACCGATATGTGCATTCTTGTAGAGACACACTCTAAAAGCACATAACAAGCAAATGAGAGCCAAAGCACCCCTATGCTGGGGTAGGGTTTCCCCGTCCTATTTTGTCAAGAGCTAGGGTTTCACTACGCACACAACG